AGTGCCCCAATGACCAAACATCAGGCTCCACTTTTGCAGTACACAGCAAAAGAAACAATCGAATAACACATAAAGATTTGCATGCATCACTTTATTGTATTGTGTTTTAGGGATGTTGGGAGGAGATACAACAGCAGACTGTTTTTCCTAGCAAGGTAGATCTTTAGTGACTTCCTGTAAATGTGGCTTTGCTGTTGATTTCCTGCTGCATGCTTTGGGACAGATCTACCAAGTGTTGGTCTCCCGCTACGGTCTAAGCATTGGCCGAGTTAAGTCCCTGGTGATGCTACGGCCGTCCGTGGCCGGGAGTCCAAGACAGCACAATTGGCCTCGCTCTCTGGGTGGGTAGTATAGGCCCCTCTCCCCCTATCACTCCAAAGTGATGCTAGTCAGCGCAGGCGTCTGTTAGCTGACGTGACAGATCTGGCGGTTGGCGCTTTCCTCCAAGCACGTTCGACTGTCCAGTGATGTTGCGTGAGCGGCAGTTTGAAAAGATGCGGTGGAGCTTCACAGGTCTTGGAGGAAGCCTGTGCTGCCTTCGCCCTCCTAGCACTGGTAGTATCATGTGACTGGGGGAGTCCTAACTAGTGGGTGGAACTGGATACGACTAAATAGGGGGATAAAAAATCTACTGTGTGTTTATCATCCCATGTTTTTCTTGGCCTTTTTTGGGGCTGTAAACATGATCCCCACTAAACCCTGTGTTTCCAGCTTAGGGCACACAGTTCCTATAGACTTTGAATGCATTATATGTGTAGAAGTCATACATTTGTGTCCTAATTAGTGCCCTATGTGTGGAGGTGGGGGACGAATTTGAAGAGAGCTCGTCATTAGTTTGCTAACATTATTTTCTTTGCTAGCTAGCTGCATGAAGTTTATTTGACTTAAAAATCGTAAAGACCCATCTCAGATATAGAAAAGCTCAATTCTAAAGGTAAAATGTTTTCAGCGATATAATGAAAGAATGTGATAAATGCTATTTTGGCAGAGGATGAAGGAATGTGGTTTAGGCTAGGAAGGCTAGGGCACGCACTGCATAACAGAATTGGCAGTTAGTGTTCTCCTCCAAGCGTGTTGAGCTGTCCTATGATGTTGTGTTAGCAGCAGTTCAAAGAAAGATGCAGTGGCGCTTCACATGTCTCATTCTAACATTGGCTATTTACCTCCAAATCATGAATGTGTAGGGCTAAGGCGTGAATTGACTTGGCTAACTGCTGTCCACCTTGTGATGTCCTTACTGGATATGGTGAACTTTCTTTGGGGTCTGTTCTTCAGGCCTACTAATCGAGCTTTTCCACCGGACAGAAGTACAGCACAAGTCTAGTGCCGGGTGACCCATACCGTACCTGATTACCCACACTAAATTTGGTTACCCTTCTTGTTGGGGTACCAAGTGTACCAAACTGGCACGTATGGGTGGAAATAGTGCAAACCTTTGATTGGTCTAACACAGTCATCACAGGATTGTCACGTGTCACCACTCAAGTCAGACGAGTCGTTTCTAAAAACACTAGCTAGCCAGAATCAATGTGACTCTTTCTGTGAAACCAAGTGCCAAGTAAAAGGCAAATCAGAACCTGTTGGTGATGCTTGTGTTTACTGTAAAGTGACTGGCGTCACAGACAAAACTACATTATATTGCCTAAAGTATTCTAAATGTTCTAATCACTTCCAGGTGTATAAAACCAAGCACCTAGGCACCAAGAATGGGTCGCTCTCAGGAGCTCAGTGAATTCCAGCATGGTATCATGATAGGATGCCACCAGTGCAACAAGTCCAGTCGTGAAATTTCCTTGCTACTAAATATTCCACAGTCAACTGTCAGTGGTATTCTAACAAAGTGGAAGCGATTGGGAACGACAGCAACTCAGCCACGAAGTGGTCGGCTACGTAAAATGACAGAGTGGGGTCAGCGGATGCTGAGGCGCATAGTGCGCAGAGATCGCCAACTTTCTGCAGAGTCAATCGCTACAGACCTCCAAACTTCATGTGGCCCTCAGATTAGCTCAAGAACAGCGTAGAGAGCTTCATGGAATGGGTTTCCATGGCCGAGTAGCTGCATCCAAGCCTTACATCACCAAACGCAATGCAAAGCGTTGAATGCAGCGGTGTAAAGTGCTGCCACTGGACTCTAGAGCAGTGGAGACGTGTTCTCTGGAGTGACCAATCACGCTTCTCCGTCTGAACCTTGTGGAAAGCCTTCCCAGAAGAGTTGAAGCTGTTATAGCTGCAAAGGGTGGGCCAACATCATATTAAACCCTATGGATTAAGAATGGGACCTCACTCAATTTCATATGCGTGTGAAGGCAGACGAGCAAATACTTTTGGCAATATAGTGTAGCTTCTTTAAGCTTTTCTAAACTTGCAAAGCCATTTGTAGCATAGCTAAACGCAGCTTCCTGCTTGCGCTAGCCACCTGTTTCCGGAACATACTACAAGCGATTAACTTCATTCATGAAAGCACAATAGCTAGCTGTCCACCTTAACTGTAGAAACAAAATGGTATGTTAGCTTAATGTTAGCTACTCAGAACTTTTGTAGCATTTGTCTGCTCTTAAACTGTATTCATTTAAATATATTTCATGAATCAACACTGATAAACACTTTTTTCCGCAACATATCTTCAATACTGAGATTTTAAACAGGCCTTAACACTAACATCATGTGAGAAATCATGTCACCACTACACAACCTCCTCCAAATAACCCCACCTCCTTTCATAAGATGGTAATAGGAAACTCCACCAGGATACGAATACTTCTGGATTCAGATTGGCAACCATACTGTGGCAGTTGCTGTGATTTCAGGCTGGAAACGAGCCGTTATGTAGGTCAGTGGCCGAGGGACTGGTCGTCAGTGAGTGAGGACTCGATCTGTTTTGGTGCTGTTGTTTGTTGTTATAGTTAAATGTGAGTTTAGACAAAAGCATGACTCTATACACAATAAGTGCACTGGACTGTCAAAGTGGTTTCACAGGCCGTCCTTACACTGTAAGAATGATGATCATAATAATAATAATCATATCTTTCCTATACTCTCCATATACTCCTGTTTACCCATATAGAAATCTGCCAAATATGCATATACACTCACTGAGCACTTTAATAAGTACACCTACCTTGTTTCTACACTCACTGTCCATTTTATCAGCTCCACTGACCATATAGCTTCACTCTGTAGTTCTACAGTTACAGACTGTAGTCCATCTGTTTTTCTGCCTACTTTATCCTGTTCTTCAATGGTCAGGACCCCCACTACTATTTGGGTGGTGGGCCATTCTCAGCACTGCAGTGACACTGATGTGGTGGTGGTGTGTTAGTGTGTGTTGCGCTGGTAGGAGTGGACACAGCAGTGGGCATCCGATCAAGGCAGTTGAAAAACCGCATGAGATCACACAGTTGGATCATGGGCAGTTGTTCAGCTCAGCAAAGAAACACACTCCAGTTGGTTCTGTTAACAGAGACTGATTACAGTTTACAGGGTTAACAGAGAGCAGCAGAGACTCCAGCAGGTCTAGTTATTACAGCTTAACTGGGAGAGGGAGAGCCAGAAGGTAACAGAGACATGAGGCTCCCTGAGATGTCAGCGTCCCTCGACTCCACCGTCAACAAACCAGAGTGAACCTGTGAGAGCAGCGGGACGACAGCACCAACACTCCCAGTTTACCATAATACTCTATGACCATGAACCCCCAGATCTGCACCTTTTATCCAACAGGATGAACTAAAGGCTTGACTAAACAAGTGGGTTTTTAGCCTAGACTTGAAGACTGAGTCCCAAACAGTGACTGGAAGTTTATTCCAAAGCTGGGGGCTTTGTATGAGAAAGCTCCACACCCTGATGTAACTTTAATAACTCTAGGTAAGCCAGCACCTTGTGATCTAGGTAGGCGTGATGGTTCATAGTATGAGAGAAGTTCACTCAGGTACTGAGGGGCGAGTCCGTTTAGAGCTTTATAAGTCAGTAAAAGAATTTTGTAATTGATGCAAAATTTAACTGGTAACCAGTGTAGGGTTGATAGAACTGGGCTGATATGGTCAAACTTTCTGGTTCTTGTGAGACTCTGGCTGCAGCGTTCTGGACCAACTAAAACTTGTTAAGGCTTTTGCTGAACATCCAGCCAGCAGGGCATTACAGTATTCTAGCCTTGAGGTAATAAATGCATGAACTAACTTTTCTGCATCCTGTAGAGAGAATGCATTTCTTAATTTAGCAATATTGCGGAGATGCAGGAAGGCTATTCTAGTAATATTGGTTATATGTGCATCGAAGGATGGATCAGGATCTATCATGACACCAAGGTTTTTTACAGATGTACCTGATGCAACTGAGAAGCTGTTAAGTTTAAGCGTTAAATTAGTTAGTTTGTTTCTAGCAGCTTTGGGCCCAAGAAGAAGAACCTCTGTTTTGTCTGAGTAGGAGAACATTAATTATCTGGATTGGTCGTTTGTGTGTCATCAGCATAGCAGTGGAAATTGATGCCGCATTTACTGATACCCAGCGGTAGCATATACAATGCAAATAATAGCAGCCCTAAAACAGAGCCTTGTGGAACACCATTCTTTACTTTTGTACAAACAGAGGGCTTGCTATTTAAATTACACAGTTTCTAGCAGCTTTTGGACCGAGAAGAAGAGGAACCTCTGTTTTGTCGGGGGTTGAGTAGGAGGATGTTACTCGACTGGTCTTTTATGTCTTTTACACAGTCCTCAATCTTATTAACTTGACATTTATCATCTGATTTGGTCCATATATACAGTTGTATGTCATCAGCATAGCAGTGGAATTAGATGCCATGTTTACTGTTACCCAGTGGCAGCATACACGATGCAAATAATAGTGGTCCTAAAACAGAGCCTTGTGGAACACCATACTTTTGTACAAACACAGAATTTGCCATTTATATTCACAAACTGATAGCAGTCAGGACTGTGTACATCTTAACCATTTAATTATGTGAAATTGACATCATCTCATCCCATGTTTGCGTCTCTCCCCAGACGGAAAACGGCTGTGTCCTCAACTCCACCAGTGTGGCCTACACAGCAAACTGCCTGCTACCCAACGGCACCGTGGCAACCGCGCCCAACAACAGCCCCCACCCCCGTCCTGAGCCCCTCCCACCAATCCCTGATCCGCAGACCACTGGCTTCTACCTCTAACGGCCCCCACGCCACGGACCGATCAGCACAAAACCTTCCCCGGGCCCAGAGGGGGCGTCGGACTGACCGTCAGGAAGAAAAGACTTGAAAATGAACTGTAGAGGAAACTGTCGTTCCTTGTGTCGATCTGTTTCGGATCCAGATGTCAAATTTTGATGCTGAACGATAAGGTGGGACGTCTGCGTTAACCAGAGTTAACGGAGTTGATAAGTAAAGATAAAATGACGACGAGCGAGTGCAGTGTTGGCAGGTCACCGGTCATCCAGTGTTGACCTACAGATTATCACGCTAGATGGCGAAGATGCAGTGTTAGCGATGTTATTGGTCAGTATGTGTCAGTGCAGTATGCGAAAATGTGTGTGCGTGTGGCAACAAGTGTTTGTTTATTGTCTGTAAACAATAGTGACGAGAGCTAGATGACTAAGCATTTAGCGTCATTGAAACTTTTGAAATGATTGTCGGAACGGCAGTATTAGGTGTTCACTGTGGAAATGTGGCATGTATATTAATTTATTTATGACAGAATTAGCTTCATGCTGATTAGCTTCGTGCTGGTTAGCTTCATGGTTCTTGTTTTTGCTACTGTTTTACGGGCCCGTGTCCGTATTGTACACGACAGCTTAAAATATATATCATCAGGTGTCTTCTTAAGCATTTCTCTTCCTTCCCAACTGCAGACGGAAGATTCTGTATCTCGTTTCCGAAGCCTTTCTATCTTTCCCCTGGTGGTTCAACGCCCTCGCGGTCAGGAACACGCGTTCTCTTTAGCGTGCTGACCTGAGACCAGCTGTTTTCTGTACCGCCGGTTCGCAGTGAAGGTTTGTTTTGGGAAATAAAAACCAAATGTGAAAGCAGTTCATCTCAAGAGATTCTGTAGTTGAGACTGGAAGATTACATTGTTGAATGTGTCATATATACAGTAAAGGAGTTTATAAAGAAAGGAAAAAAAAAAGATTATTTCATTCCGGTGCTGCAAAGTTGTTTTATTAGTAGTGTTATTGTAGTAGTATTATAATTCACAGAGTAATCTGATTTGAATTGTCCTATCCAGGCCCCGCCCACAAGTGCGTTCTTTCATGGCTGCTGTAACAAGGTTGGGCCAGCTTTGCATATCGCCGTGAAAATCCCATTCAACCTAATGAGAAACTGTAGAACAGACTCAGTTTATATCACAATACCTACATTTAGAGTCGGTTATTCATTTACCCTAATGAGAAACTGTAGAACAGACTCAGTTTATATCACAATACCTACATTTAGAGTCAGTTATTCATTCAACCTAATAAGAAACTGTAGAACAGACTCAGTTTATATCACAATACCTACATTTAGAGTCAGTTATTCATTTACCCTAATGAGAAACTGTGGGTAGATATTGTGCTATAATTGTTTTTCATTAGGTTGAATGAATAACCGACTCTAAATGTAGGTATTGTGACATAAACTGAGTCTGTTCTACAGTTTCTCATTAGGCTGAATGAATAACTGACTCTAAATGTAGGTATTGTGATATAAACTGAGTCTGTTCTACAGTTTCTCATTAGGTTTGATGGGATTTTACCAGCGTTCTGTAAAGCCTATCCAACCTGGCATGGACAGGGTAATGTCACTCTAGTCTGATTTTAGGCTTAAATTCAATCCACAAGTCCTGCAGATGCACAAATCCAGTATATTGTGTTGGGACTAAATGAACAAGGGGTTTTTACTGTGTAGCTTCATTTTTTTGCTTTTTTTTTTAATACACATGTATATCTATATATATATATTTACAAACTTTTCTTACTTGAGTCAGGATATTAAAAAGTGGGAGCTTATTAAAAATTGTCACGCAAATTATGAAAAACAATGTGAGGTTATAAATATTGCTTTGTAAATAGTTTAAAGTGATTTTTTATGACGTTTCGTTGCCAGCACTATTTTAAAGAGCACTGTTACAGCAGGACTTCTCCAGCACAAGTAGACACGTAGGGGAGATTTTCAGACAAAATGCTGTACAAATACCCATCTGTACCGTGTTTTATTTCTGTTTTGAAGCGAAAAAAAGGTTTGACACTTTAGGAAGAAAAAAAAAAAACATGGTGCCATAAATGGTGAAGTTCACTTTCGCTCCACGTTTTGTGTCGTCCATGTCTTTTTGTTCTGTTTTTGTTTTTTAAAGAAATATAAGATAAAAATCACGTTTGAGTTTATTTTACTATGCTAACGCACTGAGGTGGGAGGGGCGGATACATATGCAGTTTCATCCATTTGTCTTTTGACTGCCTGTTGAAGTGTATTATTTGATCCTGGAATTAAAGGATTTGTGCAATCACAAACGTACAGATGTGTCTCGTCTCATCTCTCACACCAGAAACCTTCAGATCTTCAAGTGCTGGCAGCTGCAGGACTGCGGTTGATTGTTTTTCATGTTCCAAGATTTCAGGACAGGGGCGTGGCCGAGGGGTGGCCAGAGGCACCCCAGTTTAACAAAGCGAGGCAGTCAGCTATTGTCAGTGAAGCAGCACAGAAAAGTTTTGCTACTTTGTGTGAACAGTTTTATGGTGAAAATCTGCCATTCTGGCCGGTACCGATCAATCGTGATCACCCAATAATCAGCATATGTCACAGGAGAGTGAACGCTGCTCAAAACCTTAACATTATTCTTGTTTGTTTTGCTTAAGAAAGCAGCCAACACTGGCTTTGTACACTAGGAAAACATTTAAAAGCACATGAAAACATTTAAAAGCATATGAATTGCTTTTAGCTTAGTGCATAATACTAGAGTCCCATAGAGGTGCTAGCAGAAATGAGCTTTATCGTAGAGGTGGGTTTTTCCTCATTTTTGGCCGAGTTTTGACATTTATGGCCTGAACTGAAAGCCTAACTCTAATAGTCATGGTTCAACACTGGCAAACTGCTTCCGTTAATAATTTGCATACTTGTCATTGTTCACTAATCTCTAAATTAAACAGCCAAATTAAAGCTTAAAAGTGGATGGTACTACTGTGTTTAGCTTTTCCACATACTTTTGTCCATTTTTGTCCAGAATTAAAGAAAGTAAGGGTGGCCAAACGTGATTTTGCTTCGCACATTTTCTTTAAACAGGACAAATACTATAGACAAACACTTGCACCAACAAATGGACCCTGTTGCGGTGTTTCATCTGTGGAAACAGTCACCGTAGAAACCGAGGATGTAGAAACTATCGCTGTAGGAACAGGTAGCTCTCTCTGGGGCAGGAGTGGCATGGTGTAAATGCAGCCGTCTCACGCCACCGCAACTCTAGAGTTTCCAAACACTAACTCTCTGTCTCTCTCTCTCTCTCTCTCTCCCTCTCTCTCTCTCTCTCTGTACTCGAATGCTTTTATCCCTGCTGTATCGATCAGGCCGTGGACACACAGCCAGCAGACCCTTTTCACACACACGCCCAGCGCCCGGCTGGGTCAAAACAAACAAACACACCACAGCTTGGCCAGACGGAGCCGTTAGTAACACCTTCTGAAACCAGAGACAGACCACCACTGGACGAGGACAGAATGTCCATTGACGGAACAGCTGGTGGACCAATAGTGGTCAATACACTTTAGACACTCTTTTAGTCCCTGCCACAAAAGGCTCCATGTTTTGATGTTGTTTGTGTCTGTTTATTTTAGGAAACATTGTAATTGAGTAGATTGCACTGGACAGAACTGCACACTGGAGTCCGATGTGATGTATGGAGAAGATCTGGGGTCTCAAATTAGCTCCAGCCCAGGTGGTCCAGTTGATAAAATGCAAGGGACATTTATGCATTTTAAGCTATAATATATTTATTCATTTAAGCGCATCTTAGTCAGTGCTTATTAGCCATTTTAAACCTCAACACCTTCAACTCATACTATGACTACTACTAATAATAATCGTTTAATAACTATTTTAGTGTTCAAGTAAACTTAACAACAGAATTATACAGGACTCTTATTGTGGTACCATCATCATTTCTTCTGAAGGTGAGTGAAGTTAATGGGAGTGAAGTGCCAGTTAATTCTGCGATCTCAGTGGATTCGTTTATTTGATGAATTAGATTAATTTCTTAATTCTGAACTGTATCTCCTGCTGTGTCCTCAATGAATCCACAAAGGCAGATTTAACTATTAGCCTAAATTAGATTAATAGTAAGGTAGTTACAGCTAAACTACAGTCATGCCTGCACGGTGTGCAGCGTTCATGCCTGCTCAGCGGTTTGGTTTGAATGGTTCCTCTTGCATGTAGTGCTCTATTTTTGCTTTTAACAGTGTAATCATCGGTCTAAGCTGATTTTACACAGCTTATGTTGGATGTTGGGCAACCGGCCACAGTGCCTGGTGGGTAAAGCAGATCTCAGATGTCAGATGTAAATATTTAACCACAGAGAAATGACAAATTGTAAACATGTGATGGGCCATATATGGGCCATGACGAGTGATCCATTACAATTGACTAATTAGTGCACAGGGATCACTTAGTACTGCTTGGAAAATGTAATCTCACTACTCATTACTTTACTTCTATGTTACTCTCTAAAACCAGACAGTTCTGTAGCAACCAAATGGTCTTTACTAAAGAACCCTTTGCTGAAGCCATTTCGGTCCCTTATAGAACAATATACAACACATTCTCCATCAATCTGAAGAACGATTTGGCCATGCAAAGAACCATTTAAGCATGCAAATGGTTCTTTGAGTGTTCATAGTTCTGGATAGAACGATTGTCTCTCCTAAAGAACTCTTAAAGAACCCAAATTGGTCCTTATATAAAACACATTCTTCATCAATCTAAAGAAGAATTTCATGGTTCTTAAAAAAAACCCTTGAAGAACCAATGTTTGTGCTTAACAGAACAATATACAACACATTCCTCATCAATTTCAAGAACCGTTTCACCAGGCAAAGAACCATTTAAGCATGCAAGTGATTCTTTGATTGTCCATGGTTCTTTACTAAGTAACCCTTGAAGAACCATCTTTTTTAGATCTATGAGGACTTTGTTTCACACTGATATGTTACACTAACTCATGTTATTTCGTATTGGAATAATTCAGACGTTCAATGGAGGTCTGGCTAATAAACAGTAGTCCTTCCTTTCAGGCCATTCATTCAGAAACAAATGACCAATTACAGTAAACGTCGTTTTATGACATAGCCAGTTTTGCTAGATTAAAATTCTGAAGTTTTGAGCCTGTTTGTGCGACGTTAATTCGTAAAGACGTACGACGTGGTGTGAAAAACTCCCGCACTGATGCCTCCGATCTGTAAATTACTGAGGTTTTTCTACAGTGGGTATGTACAGTACAAACAGAGAGGCTGAGTGTCTCACTCTCAATAACCACTCTCTAACCTCACATCTCACTGTGAGCTGTTTCACTCATGA